CAACATAGAAACCCTAAGTCCCAAAGAATATTGAGTTAAATATGCCATTCCAAAATGACACTTACGAAACTAATGTGAATAATAATGGGCTATGCCAAAGCAAGGCGTTACTACTTTCCTAGGGAAGTAAGGTATGTTGGTGCGCTTGCCAAAGTAAGGCATCATATACACGTTAGTTTTGGTTAAACTCAATGATATCAATAAGGAGTCTTTAGATGTCGTGGCTATGGAGATAAACGTCAAGAAAGCATTAGATGCGACGTTTTACGAACCAAGAGTAGCTTAGAGCTATTAGCAATTAGATTGCTTACCTTAAAATATTACGTGTTAAGACAAGTCAAAGCATGCTTAATCACTTTTTGATTTTTGGGATCTTGGAATTGTTTTATTCTCGCCTAATTGGGACAAATTTTAAATGTGTGGATAAAAAGCTTAATAAGATTGAAAGTTTGCATGTGTGCTTTAATTTCAAACTTATTATGTTATTATCTTGATCAATGGTTATACTTTGCACTTATATTTGTAGTATTCTAAATCAAATTATAATGTTTCCAACGATTGGTAAAAGGAAATCTTTTGAGAATGGTTCTCAAGGAAAGAAAAGGCATTTCTAAAAATACAACTTCTCATAAATGACTTTTATGGCTTAGTTCGAAAGGGCGGTTGGACATCATGTATTCAAAATACTAAGTATTTTTTGTATAAACATGAAGTATTGAGTTGAAAAACTCAAATTGTCAATAGTTGACAACCAACATATTTTTTCGCTTCATACACTAATGAGTAAGACTCATTTATGTAGTAATTCAAGTACGAATTAAAGGAAAAGATGAAACTTTGTTTTACGGCGAATTAGATGCTTAATTATGCCTAACAAAGTATAAAAGTCAAAACACTTAAAGAAATGGTTCTTAAAAGTTATGAGATGATGTATGATAAGAAATATAGGAAACAAGGAACATTAGAAAGGAATACGAGATTCCAATTCTACCGAAGAGTTCATGTTATCATAGTTAAACTTAGCAACTCATTATCTTCACAAGTATCGAATACTGCTTGAGTGTTCCACTTTTAAAGTGACCTCAAACCATTGAAGTTAAGCTAAGTTATTGACTTACACGTTTGGAATGAAGCAAGTAGTGCTACATCAATTGTAAGGTCATCTACTTTGTTTAAAGACCTTTTAAAGCTAAGGCTAGAACAAATAAATGGTTATTGTGTTCCATAATCAGCAAACGATCTGTTTACACACGGAAAGACTCACATTTAAAGTAAAGAGCAATAGTTGTTGGTTTTATTTGGATGGCATGGTTGTTTAAGCCATGAGTCAAGGATGCTTGATTATAAACAAACATTTCTCTACATGAAAACTCACAAGGTCTAAGTCATGGACATGATTTGTGTTCCAAACATCTTTAGAAATGTCATATCGACAAGAACATACTCAAGGCTCTATCAGATAGACTCTTGAAAGTTGATCGATTCAGAATTGTTCTAAGGCAAGCAAGTCTTACTTGTTGAAATCGACAAAGAAAGGAGCTATTGTGCTTGGCATAGACAATTGACTCCAAAAGCTAACGAGGATTCCATTACTTCAACGTTTTCACAAGAATTTGAATGAATATGACTATATTCATCAAATGTGAACAAACTGGATCTTGAGTAACTCAAAAGTTCAGTGAAGTATAGAATCGACTTGGCAAGATATCAAAACGTCTAGATTAAATCGAACGATGTTTGCTTGAGCCAAGAGTGATCATATCAAGGTTATGGAATTGGAATTTCATGATTAGCTCCACAAAGAATACAATGTGTCTTGACGGATACCATGATGTCATTTGGAAATGACTCGAATGATGATGGATCACATCCCTTCCTATAAATTTCTTAAAGATTTGCACAAATGACTAATGTTACACTAAATAAAATGTCGAAGCTAAGAAAGGACACCATATTTAGTTATGGATAGAAATAGTTTCTTGCATCTTTTCAAGTATATGTCTAGGGCTCTTAGCTCAGTGGGAGTTCATTGGCTCAGTGGGAGCTAAGTGGCTCAATGGGAGCTAAGCGGCTCAATAAGGGCTAAGGTAGCTCGAGTGGGAGCTAACTGTTTGTTTCACAACAAACTTTTACCCAAAGACAATATACACGTCTCTTTGTAAGCATTTAAGTGAGACTACAGGCATTACTTTCACTACCTGATTGAGAACATAGTATTTGTTGCTCTAAGTGATGTCTTTCTGGAAAATAACACATTTCCAAAACAACATGTGGGAGGAAAATGAACTCAATGACCATCAAGATTAGCAACAAACTAGAACTTAGAATCTCGGAAGACTTTAGAAGGGCTTCATGAGAATAATTGATCAAGAATACTCAAAGGACTTTACAAGTGACTTAAGAGAGAGTTCATTACTCATAAAACTTTAGAAGTATTGGAGTAAGATCAATATAATCAAAGGGCTTTAAAAGCACCTTGAAACTCAGTGTTTGATGCAATTACCCCATATAGGTATAGAATTCACCAAAGGCTTGGATTGAATCCTATAAATTTCTTTTAAGTTAGAAATAAACCTAAGACTTACAAGCATACTATTCACCATTGTATGGTGAGGGAATAGTGTCTTATAAATTAGCTACGACAAATCCAAATTCCGAATAATGGTTAGAGGCCATAAAATCTGAAAAAGACTCCACGTTTGAAAATCATGTTTGAAACTTGATTAATTTGCATGAAGGGTAAAAATCCATCAAATGCAAATAAGTTTTCAAGGAGAAAACTAACAAATATGAAAATGTATATGCATACATAGCTAGATTCGTTGAAAAAGGTTACAATTAAATTCATGGCTTTGATTTAATAAAACCTATTCACTAATCGGAATGCTTAAGTCTTTTCATGATTATTCTAGCAAAATTGCGCATATGAAATATGGAAAATAGATATCGAAACCGCCTTCCTAAAAATGGTATTTTGGAAGAGACTATGGATATAATCTAAGGGTTTTGTAAATCTAAATAATGCTATATTTGAAAGCAATCTCAAGAAATCTATTGGTGGATTGAGAGAAACGGTGCATGTAGGAACTAGAATGTGTATTCTCATAAAGTTAGAAAAAGGTTTGGCTTATAGAGAAACATATAAATTCTTATAGATAGGAAGTTTGTGGAAGCAAAAGTCAATTTTGTAAGGTCCAATAAGAAGTTAACGAACTCTATTGTAAAATAACTATCAAATGCTAAATGCTTAGATTTGAAAGAATTTTTCAATGACGGACCAAGCTAAAGGCGATACTTAGTACATAGTGGGAATTAAGATCTATTTGATAGACCTAATAAAATGTTGGAACGAGTAAAGGAATTTACCGTGTTAAACATGAAGGACCTGAAAAGGCTTTCGACCCATACGTATAAAACTAAGCAAATGTTTGAACTAAGTACAAGCTAAGAAAATACTAAGTCAAACAAGAAAGACTCTGGTAGAGACTTTCAACCGTATCATATAGCAAACAGTTTAGCAAGACTCGGTGAAACTAGATGAGCTAAAAGTCACATGAATGGAATGAAATTGGGAATATTTCAGCAATTGAATCCATCATGTATGTTACGACATGGAATCGTCACATGACCTGCATGCTTAGAGCATGACAAGTATAAAATACCAATCAACTTGAATCTAAACAATGGAACGTTAGATTATGATCAAGAACATCTGGAGTACTTAGTTAAGTAAAAGGATGAGTTCTTGATGCATGGAAACAAATATAATTTGGATATTGATGTTGCAAGCACAACCTTAGCAAGGATTAGATCCTTGATGAGGAAGTCATTTATAAGCACGAGGTTAAGACGCGTCGTGACTTAAGAATGGCAACATGAACTTATGTCCATGTATATTGTGCGGAAATTTAAGGTAAATTTCCATAATCACAAATGATTAGGATATCCAAATCATTATGAGCCAGTTGAAGTAAAATCCAAGCAAAGCATCATTAGGAAATCTGCTAAAGTATACGTTGAGAACATTGCAGCCTTAGAGGCAATAATAAGGAAGTTGTTGAATGGATAGTTCATTGTTGAACTTTGATGATTGTAGGTTGTCAAGTTGAAGACCTGAAATCATGAAAACAAGTAGGAGCCATCACTTGGACAATTAATCCTAAATCGCATATAATCCATAACACTCTCAAATCTTATCATCTTATTATGAGAGTTTTTGATAATGAAGATGCTAAGTTTTTCAAAGTAATCGTAACTAAACCTATGCAATAAGTGAACCACAACATTCACAATTGCATAAAAGAAATCAAGCATATTACATATGGGTGTGATTTCTATAAATGTTTTGTGAAGAGTATTACTCTTAAAACATTTGGGGAAAACCATTTATCATAAGATGAAACGTTGAAAAGTTTCATAGTGAAATAAAATTTTAACTAATAATTCCACAAACTATTTAATTTTGGTTTAGAATTAAATAATGAGTCCATTCGATTTGACGATATTCAAAATAGGGTATTAAGACCATGACTTGGATAAAGAAACACCTTTCACTAGACGAAAAAGATAAAAAGGCACCGGTTCAAACCCCCCCTTTGGCACTGGTTTTGAACCGTTGGGTATTTGAGGGATGCTAAATCCATGAAAATTTGGCACCGGTTCAAAACTGGTGCCAACTAAAGCATTTAGCACCGGTTAACCGGTGCTAACTACATGATTTGGCACCGGTTAACCGGTGCCAACTACCATGGCGCGATTTTTTTTTTATTTTCAATACTATAAGCACCGGTACAAAGAAAGAACCGGTGCAAAAAATCCCACTTTAGGCACCTATTCTTGCTTTGAACCGGTGCCAAAAGTCTCAAAAAAAAAATTTATAAACTTTTGGCACCGGTTCTGGTCCAAACCGGTGCCAAAAATACCCCAAAAAAATAAAAAAAAATAAAATTTTTTTTTGCATTTTTTTCACTTAAATTGATATAGAAGCATTAACATATATATAAAGTTACATATTTTCATTAAAAAAGGCTGTAATATTACAATTTTCGTCCAAAAAAATTAAATAATCCAGACTTATCTCTGATCGACCTTTCTTGCATTTCATTTAACTAGCTATCCTGGTCTTGTGCTGGTGGCTGCTCTGCTGGTTGTGGCTGTGTTTCTGCATTGATGGTTGTGGCTGTTCTGCTTTTGTGGCTGTGTTTCTGCTCTGTTCAAGATGGCTGGGTGATTGGTTTTGCTTCTGTTCAGGCTAGCTGTCTTGTGCTGGTGGCTGCTCTGCTGGCTGATGTGTTGTTGCGTATTCAGGCTGACCTGCTGCTCTGCTGTTTGCTGTGCTGCTGTTTCTGTTCTGCTGCGCCGCTGTGCCAAAAATAGAACTTCCTCTTCATTTTCTTGACATCAACCTTTTAAAAAACATTCACGGTCCTACACTCATAACAAATCAAATGATATCTTGAACCAGTTCTTACTAGTAATTCTCTCCCGCACATCCAATTCTTGCTACTTATACAATTAGGATCCCAAATGGCCACATGTCAACCTTTTTAAGAAAAGTGGCATTCCTTTCCCAACTTTAGACAATGAGATCATAGCAATAGAGATTTCTATCATATGCACACGTAAACACTTGGATGGGGGTAAAGAGAAAGCTAAAAATACCTCCCGAGGTGGGGGTTGTGAGAAGCTGAAATTCACTTTTGATTGGATAGCAAGCTTAACATCATCGCAGTCAATTGAGGCTTTGCCAGCATGTTCAGAGTAAACGTGTGCATCCGTTAAGACATCGACAGCGTACCTGTACCACAACTCCAGAAACTGGTGCACAACACGGGGCTCATGCTCCTCAACACCCATGGATTTTATCAATGACTTCATAATTTTCGCATCCCTGGGCAAGTCTTCCTCTCCCTCAGCCATGAATCTCCAAACCTGCAACACCACCCAATGTGCATTGTGTATTGAGATACATTATTATTCATTAACCATGAAAGCTCAGATGGAAGAAAGTAAGACAACTTAAAATAGAAGTGTACTGGTAATTTTTTTAATCACCAGTAATTCCCCAATATCATACTTGTATATAAACACGACACAACAACCAAAGCTTTGAGCCACAGGGTCAAGTTGTTCACATAATTTCTAAAATCAGAAACATGTAAGATTCCAGAATTAAGATAACAATTAAGCACTATAATATAGTACTAACAAGAAGATGCAGTAGAGCTTTCTGGGACAAATCCATAATTTCTTAACTGATTACAAAACCCATGATAATCCCTAAATTTTTCGGCAGAGCAATTCTGTAAAAAAAGATTGTCCAACCAAGTAAACTATAGCCAATTCATCTTCAGAATTTGTTGCTCTTCCTTTGCTGTGCTTAAGCACTCAACAATTTTGCAAAAGGCAAAACGTACAAAAAAAAAAAAATAACAAACTGAGTAAATACATGAACAATAGTCAAAGATGAATGATCAATAAATGGAGATCAGTATTAACAGTTGTGTTTCGAAACTCATGTGCATTATTAATGACAGTATGGAAATAGCCTTCTGGAAAGGATATGAGATTTGCATAGTACATGAGAACAGTTCAAGGTAGATTGTCCCATCCCCAAATGCAGTAGTCAATAAAAGGGCGAGACAGAGCCATCCAAGAAGAACCTACATACAATTACACCCACTGTCATAATGGAGATCTACACTCTTCACAAAAATTAATAAGAGAGGTGGTAATAGAGTTGCTCTAACATATTATAGTTTTGAATAAGAACAAATGTCCTTAGACATGATCAAATAAGAGTATAAAACTCTGAACACAGAAGAACTGACAAAACCATAATATCGTTTTTGTCCCCAACCCCTTTAGGTTTTTTTTTTCTTTTTTAAGGGTTATTAAAGAGAGGGGTGGACAGGCTGGACATATTGCATCAAACTCAACATAAATTGAAGCATTTCAAGCTCAATGATCAAAAAAATTCAACACTTACACACATTATAACAGAAAATCAAAACCAACCCATTAAACAAAACCCATAATTCAAACAAACCCAGAAATTTATAACCAATTGCACAAATAATTAACCAACATTAAATTCATAAAACTAACCCAAAACTCGCTCAGAAATTTCAAGAAGCTGATCAGGTGGCTTCCAATAGAAGAATCGACGAAACAGCGCCATGGGATGGCGCTATTTTCCCCAAAATCGGATCCAAAACGATTAATTCCAATGAAACCCAGCCCTAATCCAGATCCAATCAATTGCAATCCAGCTAAATATATACCCAAAATTAAATAATCAAACCCCTCTTCAAAATTTATCAAATTTGGTGCAAAATTGGATAAAATGATCGAATCAAGAAGAATTCAACAACAATCCCAGAAAAATCAAAAGTCGGGAAGAACCCAGAATGTAATTGAGTATATCATATGAGGGCAACCATATCTACTTTCTTAAACAACCTACATTTACATAAATCCAAAAAAAAAACATTAAATCTTCTTCAGTGCATGTCATTGGTACCTCTTATACAAATTCATGAATCTACATAAACATACATCATCTTTACTCAAACCATGTTACAAAGCCAACCTAAAAAATACCCAATTTTCAAAATCTTATAAAGATGCATGATAATCACAAAAATCTGCAGAATTTAAAACTTAAAATTCGGCAAAAACCCATCAACAAAATTTGCCAAAAAAAAATCCAATTTAGGACCAAATAAGTTGGAAAAAAACCCAAAAAATCAAACACAAATCGATCAAATAAACCCCATTTAAAACAAAATGATAAATAAGTTACATTATGCTAGTAGAATCCATTTATACCTTATTTTTGTTGCATTGATACGGAGCCCTCACCCAAAAAAACCAAATAACAAACTTTTTTTGATTGAGATCATTTTATAATGAACTTCTATGGAATACTATAGTTTCATCCCCAAAACACACCAAAAATAAGATCATTTTGTACCATTTTTGCTACTAATAACTAACACATATATAAAACTACAAGAGCATTGGAAAAAATAGCCACTAACCTTTGAATTTGAACTCTTTTTTGAGGAGAAAACAAACTAGATCTACAATTCCTACAAATGATCGAATAAAAAATATTAAAATAAAAAAACTTAGGGTTTATGGTTAATTACTTGAAACTAAATTTAAAAAAATAGGTGGAAGGCATACTTGCTAGTCAGTGGGTGGTCTAAGTTGTTGGGTGGCCGGCGGGTGAGTGGTCTGAGGCGGTGGATCTAGGCGGCTGAGCAATTTAGGTTTAGGGTTAGCAATGTTTTTTTAAAAATGAAAAAAAAAGGAAAAACCATTACCTGGTGGTCGGTGGCCGATGCACGAAGGACGGCTGAGGGGAACGGAGGGTGGTCGGCGGGTAGGACCTACTCTCTCCTTCTCCTACTTATTTTGTTCGACAAAAAATAGAAATAAAACCAGAACCCTAAAATTACGAAATTGAAAACCAAATCAACGACAAACCCTAGATTGCGAAGGAATTCAGTAGATTAAGAAGACCACACTACCTCGAAGCTGCTTCAATGGTGGTGAGAAAGCTCAAAATCGGCTTCAATGGAGAATATAGAGCACGAGTTCAATGGAGGCCAGAGATATGGAGAGAGAAGGAGGTGCCGCTTCAATGGAGTGAGAAAGCTCGTAAACCACTTCAATGGAGAAGGTGAAAATTCGGGATGGTGGAAGAGAAGGCGAAAACTAGAGGGAAAACAGAAGACGGAAAAAACGGGGGGAAAGAAAGAAAAGCAGGAGCCCGGATTTTTTTTAATAAGTTGGCACCGGTTTGAACCGGTGCTAATTAAATGATTGGCACCGGTTTTGGTTGGAATCAGTGCCAACACTGATTTTTTCAATCCCGCCCATTTCTTTTGGCACCGGTTTTCAAGAACCGGTGCTAAAGGGAGGGGTGCCTATTTCATTTTTTCTACTAGTGAGTGAACATTGAATATCATATCGAATCCCTAATCGAAGTCATTTGAAAGTTAGACGACTAATGACCGCGTGAGATTAGTGTGTAGTATGATTTATAGCACCGTTTCTTGTGCTAAAAGGACAAAATTGTCATAAATCATTTACACAGGTATCAGTTTGGAACTATTCTGGATCGACCTAAGAGAATACTTTAAGAGATTAAACAATCGTCATAAGTATATTACTCATTATAGCTATCGGAACTTCTTTCCTCGACCATGAGCATTGTTAGTTATCTTGTTTGAGTACTAATCCGCTTTGATGTTGTCAAAAGTATGCCGTACAAGGGGATTATGAAGGCAATAGTTGGGCGGCTAGGGCCTCTTAGTAAGGGAAGCAGACAATGCAAGACTAGGAATGTCCCCCTATTAACAATAGTGTAGGCGTCGTTCGAAGCGCGCCTACGTTAAGCATGTTGTGAATATGCTTGGCACTCTTAGGAAGTGGGAATTGACATTATACGATTAGGGACAATGATTAGGGACAAAGCAAAGTAGGGAGCCGCCAACAAGTTTTTAAGGAACTTGTAAACCGTTCACGGATCATTTAAAGGCAACCACGATAAAGGGACAACGGTAGGCAACAACGATTGACCCGTGAAGGTTACACCCCATTCAAATCCATGAGATTACTAACTCCATATGGTTCGGAACCACGAAAGGAGGATTGGAGATGATGGTACGAAGTGAGTCATGGAGTCACATTCGCCTGTATTAGCCTCTACTCAATTCTTATCATGAAAAGTGATTAGCATGATATTCAATTACATATTCTCTTTAAACCAGTCGTCCAAATTATCTTATTAGCATGATATTCAATTACATATTCTCTTTAAACCGGTCGTCCAAATTATCTTATTAGCATGATATTCAATTACATATTCTCTTTAAACATGCAATACAATGATCAATAAATATAATAGAATCAACATCAACATTGGAAGCAATTTAACCATAATAGCGTTAGCCAAATCAAATAATGATAAACCTAGTCATGATACTAGCAACAAGAATTATAAAGAGTAATTAAGTGATTAACTACTCACGTTCTGCGTTTCCTTGAATTGCTACATCATGAATAAACTGTTAGTAACTTCAATAATTAATAAATCAAATTGAATTAAATTTAATGAAAAGTAGAGTTGATTTGGTTTAAACCCATAGTTAATTCTACCTTTCACGCCTTGTTTTAAGTATAGAACTTAGGGTCAAGTATGGACTCCTTGGAGTGCTTGGGGGAAGTATTGTGAGAGAATAGGGTGGCTAGTGTTTAGGCTAAAGAGAGAAGAGAATCATTGTTGGTCCCCGAAACTGGAGAAATCAGGTTCGTCTTTATAGAGAAAATAAGAGGGGTGAGGTACGGAACCTTAGAAATGAAAAGGCACCGTGGAGAAACCCTAGAAAAATGCCACGTCACAGCATGTTTGCCACGACACGGCGCGGAATACCGTGACGTGGTGTGTCTGCCGTGACACGGTGCACATGTTTTTCTGAAAATAGTCCAGATACATTTATTCCTTACTTAATAATTAAGTACGTGATATATTATGCGTCGTTTCAGCTATTCCGGATTAATTTCAGGCTTAGGATTTTTATAATTTATTAATCGGGCTTAATTAATTAATAACACGAAATGAATTAATTAAGTTTGGGCTAGGATATGAGTTGGACTGAGTTTGAATAAATGGTTTGACTGAATATGTTTGACTGAACATGGGTTTTATGCACTCTCGAGATTAAATACTCGACCCACCCAATAATGGCGGTGAAAAATTATTCATCATCGGGTTTGGTTTTGGGGAGACATTTTTATGTGTCTACAGAAATCCCCACTTTAACTAAGTTTATAGAAACGTCAGTTACAAAAACGATAGTCAAAGTAGTCGATAGGGATAGAGAATGATTTAAGACGTTCTGCGATCCTAAACCACTCTGTATACCCCGATACCCACAGAAAAACGTTAATTCCACAGATAAAAAAAAGGGTGTGCGTATCTGACACCAATGTATCAGTGGCATATATGTTTGGTACTTTTCTACGTAGGCTCCTACGCCTCGAGCAACCTACTAAATGATAGATGATCACTGAGTATTTGAAGAATGGTGATGGTTCGAGTATCCCCGAACATGGGCCGTAGATGGTTCGCTTATCCCCGAACGTGGGTCGTAGATGGTTCTCTTATCCCCGAACGTGAGCCGTAGATGGTTCGCTTATCCCCGAACGTGGGCTGTAAATGGTTCGCTTATCCCCGAACGCGGATTGTAGATGGTTCGCTTATCCCCTAACATGGGCTGTAGATGGTTCGCTTATCCCCGAACGTGGGCTATTAATTGTTCGATTATCCCCGAACGTGGGCTATTAATGGTTCGATTATCCCCGAACGTGGGCTATTGATGCTTTGCTTATCCCCAAACGTGGGTTGTACCTGAGACCTGCAAAATGGGATTTGCCAAAGGACTCGCTAAACTGTGATTGACTTGACCAACTAACTAGACCAAGCTAGACTTGACACAACATGGCATGTGTATGACTTGTGATTGTGTGTGTATGTGTATGATTTGAGTGTGTGCAGACACAAGCAAAAAAAAATAGATAAATAATTCTGTCATTTTTCGTCATGAGTGGAGGGTACCGACTTTCTCCCGAAAAAGAAACACGTGAAAAATTAAGTGAGATATTTCGAATTTCCTCGATAAAAATTTTGCAAAAGTTTTTTAACTTCCCCAAAAGAAGAAAGATGAAAAATGGAAAGAAGTTTTGAACTTCCTCGCTGAGAAAATTTTGAAAAAGTTTTTAAACTTCCCTAAAAAAAAAAAAAGACATGAAAAAGGGAAAAAGTTTTGAACTTCCTCGTTGAGCAAAGCGAAATGAATTGCATGGATTTTCTTCTTGTCAACTTAAATTGCACGTCTTGAAAATAATGTATGCATGATGAATGTTCATAGGCCAAGATGCTAAGGATAATTACATCATGTGACGCGATCCATGAATGCGCTTAGGTCATGAAGCTAAGCACGGTATTTTGTTGACAATGTATGTTGCTTAGGTCAGGAAGCTAGGAATCATATATAGTGTACAATCTTGGACATTGCTTAGGTCTGGAAGCTATGCAAGTATTACAACAAATCTTGATAAATGTAGGTAGGTCAGGAAGCTAAGTGATGGGAATAGATGTGAGAAGAGTTAAAGATGATGACTCCTTAGGCTAGGTAAGTTAAGTGATGTGGGTTCAAGCCCCCAAGTCTAGATCTAGATGGACAGGGATGAGCATTGGAAATGTTTTTACTCAATCATATATGAATGAATTTGAATGTGGTCGCACCTCGATGTGAGGTTGCCTACGTATCCGTTAGGAATCAGGCCAAACGTAGCTCTAGCCGAACTTTGCACAAGTGTATGTACACCTCAAAGAAGTCTTTCAAGGGTTGTAATGTGGTTAAGCTGATGGTTGAAAGAAGAAAAGGGTAAAAGGTTAAAGACCCGAGAGAATCCCCCAAGATGTGTAATTGTGTATTTGAAATTTGAACTTGCAAGTTTTATTTTTCACACATTTTTTTTTTGTTTTGAATTTTTGTTATTTTTTTTTTTATCAATGTGGGCAATCTCGGATCATGCGGTCCATCACTCACTTAGGATTCATGTTTCTGAGGCACGGTACCAAGCACTCGATGAGAGACGCAATTTGAGACGTGTTCATATCAAAGACATTGGAACACTTGCCCTTAGACATTGTTTTATTTTTGTCATTCTTCTTTTTTTTTTTTTGAACTTGCTTTTGAATGTTAGACGAGGCTCAAAGTGGTTGAATAAATGAAGCCAATCATTAGACGAGGCTCAAAGTGGTTGATGAAGGAATGGGTATGTGATTGAATGGTTAATGGGGAATGAATGGGTTGCAAAGGTGCCTCAAGTCATTGGTGTACCTTATGTTTGGTTTGGCAATTGAATTTTTTTTTTATTGAATCAATGTGCTATGATCGAGATGTGAAGGAAATATGCTCATTTTATTACTGGAAAAGATGAACGGAATACATGAAACATATAGAAATTCAAAACGAATAACCTATGCTAGACATGAATGGGGAAAGGGAAATGAATGATAAATAGAACAAAAACATCATGAAATCTTGCATCTCGCGCCTTGTCTTCATTGCCACTATCACTTCTTACCGCCTGGAGAGACATGAAGTTTGTTGGCATCCACTAGATCTTGAATAACGTCTTTTAAGTTCCAACACTGCTCGGTGGAGTGACCCCTTCCTTGATGGTACTTACAGTGAGAATTGGGGTCCCACCTGGCACTTCTTTATTCAGGTTTTGGCTTTGAGATTGGTCCAATTGGTGTAATCAAACCTTAACCGTGAAGACGATCAAAGGCAGCGTCATATGTCATTCCCAAAGGAGTGTAAGTTCTCCTTTTCTTTTGAAGGGGAGCATCAAGAGCTAAAACTTCATTGAGATCCACTTGGCTAATATTGTTGGTAGTATTTTCGGGCTTAGAAGACGAAGAAGAAGGTACTTACAGTGAGCATTAGGGTCCCACCTGGCACTCC